GGATCCTATACCCCTTCATGGTCGGGGTTAATTTTTGTATGATCCTCTACTCCTATATGGTTGGAGTTTAATATTTACAGGATTCTGTATCCCTATATATGGTTGGGGTTTAATATTAACAGGATCGTATTCCCCTTTATGGTTGGGGTTTAATATTAACAAGATCATTTACCCCTATATGGTTGTATGGGGTTTCATATTAACAGGATGATCCTGTACCCGGATATACTTGGGATTTAATATTAACAAGATCATTTACCCCTATAAGCTCTATGGTCGGGGTTTCTATTACAGGATCATTATCCCTGTAAGGTTTGGTTTTAATATTAACAGGATCCTGTACCCCTATATGGTTGGGGTTTAATATTAACAAGATCATTTACCCCTATATATTTGGGGTGTAGCAGGATCCGGTACTCCTCTATGAGTACCTGTTTTCCTATATTTTTGGAGTCTAATTTTAGGAAGATCATGCACCCATATATGGTTTGGGTTTAATGTTAACAGGATACCACCTGTTAAGGCAAGAGTTTAATTTTGGCAGGTTCCTGTACTTTGATATGGTCACAGATTATTTTTATCAAGATTTCACTTCTATATGATTTTTAATTTTAGCAGGATCTTGACACCCAAACATAGTTGAGATTATGCTTCATTTTTGTTAATTATGGTCTGCGGAATTATAAATGATGCAGTATTTTTTATCAATTGTAATGTCTATGCAAGATGTTGAGTGCATACTAATTAATGGTTAAAAGAAGTCTCCTTGCTTGGTTGGAGTCTTTTAGCCTGATTACTGGTTTATTTTGGTGCCCTATATGGTCGGGGTTTATTTTCTATCTAGCATAATTGCTTTATTATTGTGCCCATATAAGTTTGCGCATTATTGTTAGCTGCATGGATGATTCTTGTGCAATAATTATTTTGTTATTGTGCCCCTATATGGTTTGGGCGTTTATCCAAACTACGAGTACTGGTTTAGGTTTGGGGCGTTTTATCCAAACTACGAGTACTGGTTTATTATGGCACTCAAATAGGCATAATTTCATCAAATTAATATTTTTGCCCTGACATTTAGATATGGTATGGCAAATTAGGTGCCTGTTATGTTGGTTATAAAAAAAAAGAAAAAAAAAAGGTTTGTACAGTATACATGTGTTTCTCTGTCCTAGGGTGTAAGTTACAACTTAATACAAGCTACTTATGCTCCTATATGTTGATGATAAGGATATTTCAACATTTTTGTGTTACACATCTCTTGTAGAACTTTAATTTAGCATTCCTGGTAATGTACACTTCAGAATAAGGATTTGATTTATAATGTCAAAATAAGGTTTAAAAATAACATTTTACTCAGATTGTGAATATCAATTCAAAGTCAAATACTTTCAGGTTATCTTTGATACGCTTTACCTCTCATAATAGTTCTAGATTATATTTAGTAATTCCTGATGGTTTTACACATCCACTCATATTTTGGTTCATAATTAATTATTTGTAACTAAAATTCATGTATTTCTAGGTTTTTAGAAAGTCAAGTGAATTAGTTCATTGTTTTACACATACTTAGTTGCAATAGTATAGTAACTACTTAATATTAAGTCACAGGTTATAGATGCAAATTACTTTTCAAATGAACATGAAACTGAAAGCATCAAGGAATCTTAAGGAATTTCTCACGCAAGATTGGAAATCTTTTACATGATTCCAAATTTGCGTTTCTTCAAAGTTCATTAATTTCTGTATGTACCAAAAAATAAATAAATAATAATAATAATTAAATTAATGAAGAAGAAAAATTAATGAAAATAATAATAATTAATAATTAGTAAAAAATGGCCTTAATCATCATTTATCTTTCCTCAAAGGGGAGGGGGATGTGAAATGATTTTCATCCCAATGTCAAAAATATTCATGTTATCATGTTTATATAACAAAAGCTGTTCCAATTTAAACTTTAAATAAATATTATTTATTTGCAAAATTCATAAGTGTATATTATGCTGTTTGAAATAATGCTGGGATATAAGTTGTCTTAGGCAAAATTTTGTTTTCATGTGTGATATTAGGAGGAAATGCCATATTAAATATTGAGGGAATATTACATCACCTGTAAAGAATTATTACACATTGTTTTTAGCTACTGAGATTATTCAACAGTTCCATACAATTAAGATTTAATAAAATTGTAGTTGTAAGTAATCTTCCAAAATAATTTTAATTATTCATTTCATTAAAGATATGCCAATAAGGATAAATACATAACCAGTATAGTGTAATAGTATTGATGATAAATATTTTCGTTTATTTCAAAATCATGTTGAATGACTGTACTTATATTAGGCATCACTCATAAGAGGATCATCAAACTTTCTGCATGTCAAAGATTTTCCTCATAAGGCCTAATTAAGTTACTAAAGTATTAACATACATCATGGGACAGACATTACATTTGTACAACCAATTCACATGTAGTGGCAATTCTGTAAAATCATAATCGAAGGATTAACGTGCCCTGTACAATTTAGATTTGAGGGTGTTCCACACCTATCAGGTGCACCTAATATTCATTTACTCACATTACCTCAGGTTATTTTGATGACTCAGTGGTTAGTAGAGCATTAAATGATATATTTTGCTTCATAGAATTTAATAAGCAACCTCTTGCAACCATGTCTACACTATTTCCTTATTTTTGTGAGTTTGAGGTATATCAGGAAAACCAAAACACACAAGGATAATCCTAAGGAGTATGAGCATATTAATAAACATATACAGCAATACCAAAACAAGTTATGATGGCATGGTCGGTTTGACATTATAATATATGATGACATTAGAAGACCAGCGTGTTTTCAAATATCAGCACAAGAATGCAAGACTATGAAGCAGTTTGTAATGCAAAAATGGAGACTGTCTGATGCAGAGGAATAGTATATCTTTTTGTTCAGTTATGGCTTGCATTTTAGAAAATGACTGTCTGCGATAACATTTTTGGTAATATGTAATCTTTGACTTTCCTAGGCAGCATATGTGGAAATATATTACTCCATTTGTAAAGTTCTACAGTGATTATCTGAGGCTGCTGTTACTCAGAATGACTGTCTGAGGCAGCATTTCTGGTGACTTATTATATTGTATATTATAGAATGGAACAATTTACAATTTTTTGTGATACACAAAGTAAGTGATCTTTTATTAAACCCTATTTCCTAGTATCGGTCAATCTACATGCACATCAGTATGACTGTCTGAGGCAGCATAGTCAATGGGTAACACAATTTACAACATTACAATTGTATGACATTGTTATAATACTTTCTGTAGATTTAAGTTCAACCTGCATCAGTTTGACTGTCTGAGGCAGCTAAGTTGATGACCTTGTTTTATATACTTTTCAGACTAGTTTGAAATTTATATGTGTATTTAAACCCATTGTATATGTTTATACTCTGTTTTGTTTGCAGTGTAAAATAACTGGCATTAGTAAGACTGTCTGGGGATGTGCTTTAAAGCCCATTGTATATATTACGATATTTTTAGTATAAACCGGTAATAATTGACATCAGTATGACTGTCTGAGGCAGCATAGTTTATTTAATATGCAGTTGAAAATTTTATATGAATTTTAATCTTTTTTATATATTACTATGTTTGTTTAAAACAATTGCCATCAGTATTACTGTCTGGGGCAGCATAGTTGATTTTATATACAGTTGAAAATTTGTATGTGTATTTAAATCTATGGTATATATTACTGTTTTGTTTTCAGTGTAAAACAATTGACATCAGTATGACTGTCTGAGGCGGCAGACTTGATTTTATATACAGTTGAAAATTTGTATGTGTATTTAAATCTATTGTATATATTACTATGTTTTCAGTGTAAAACAATTGACATCAGTATGACTGTCTGAGGCGGCATACTTGATTTTATATACAGTTGAAAATTTGTATGTGTATTTAAATCTATGGTATATGTTACTATGTTTGTTTTCAGTGTAAAACAGTTGACATCAGTATGACTGTCTGAGGCGGCAGACTTGATTTTATATACAGTTGAAAATGTGTATGTGTATTTAAATCTATGGTATATATTACTATGTTTGTTTTCAGTGTAAAACAATTGACATCAGTATGACTGTCTGAGGCGGCAGACTTGATTTTATATACAGTTGAAAATTTGTATGTGTATTTAAATCTATTGTATATATTACTATGTTTGTTTTCAGTGTAAAACAATTGACATCAGTATGACTGTCTGAGGCGGCAGACTTGATTTTATATACAGTTGAAAATGTGTATGTGTATTTAAATCTATGGTATATATTACTATGTTTGTTTTCAGTGTAAAACAATTGACATCAGTATGACTGTCTGAGGCGGCAGACTTGATTTTATATACAGTTGAAAATTTGTATGTGTATTTAAATCTATTGTATATATTACTATGTTTGTTTTCAGTGTAAAACAATTGACATCAGTATGACTAGCTGTCTGAGGCAGCAAAGTTGATTTTATATGCAGTTGAAAATTTGTATACGTATTTAAATCTGTTGTATATATTATATTGTTTGTTTTCAGTGTAAAACAATTGACATCAGTATGACTGTCTGAGGCGGCGTGTTTGTTCTCCCATCTTTTTTGCAAATTCCTCTAGTCATATTGGTATTTTTGACTTATGTATATTAATATCCTTATAAAGGATATATTCAAATATGGCCGTATGTAACTTTTGTACATATTTGGTTAATTTGTTTGGCATTACAATAAATGCTCATTTACAACAAACATTTTGTTTTGATATTTGCAAAAAACAGAGCAGAGTAGACTCATTCATGGAGAAAGAAAATTATTTTAGGAAGGTTGAAGACGATGGTATAATACCTATAAAACATAAATTTAATGAATTTTTGAATTTATTTTGCGCTAAACATCGGGATCCAACTCTCATAGCTTAAGTGCAGTCATTCTTTAAGGCCCACATAAAAATGACACACCTTGGCAGATGATCAAGTTTAAGTTTTGTTTTATTTCTTCATCCTGTCATTCAGATCATGGTGGAATGCTGGAATATAGAGAATAATACATACCCTTTTCCATACCACATCCTGTATCAGCCCGAGACACCAATATCAGCCAGAGGGCCGAAGGCCGAAGGTGTTGGTCGAGGGCTGATACAGGATGTGATGTGGTAAAGGGTATGTTTTATTATATTTATTACATACTTAGTAATAAAATACAGAACACATTAAGTTCTTCTTACATACATGTACATGGTCTATTGTCTCATACGATTTGGGTTTGTTTCTACTTCTATTTCAATGCACTCGATCCTAATTTGAAAATAATCTGTTACATGTATTTGTAAATCAAGATTAACCTTATTTTCAAAAAATTAAAATTAAAAGAATATGAACTCACCAAAAATTGTGCATGATCACAAGTACTGTTTTTGTGGTAAATTTACTAAGGGTGTGATATTGACCTCACAAATCCATATCAGCCCTACAGGGCTGATACGGCTATTGTGACGTCAGCCATATCACAAATGCAAAAAACCTGTATTTATTACTAAGTGTGTAATAAAAAATAATAAAGAGCGATGAGAAAAGAAAAAAGTAAATATCTTCTATTTTTATCTTGTTTAGCATAGCTAATCTAGAGTCAATACGTAGAACAAGAAATGAAACAGATTAAAAAAAAATATATACAAGATGTGAAAATGAGAGCCACAAGGTCGATAACAATTTATAAATATATCCGGCTTTAAAAGGATTGATATCATTGAAAACAATCCATCTGTTATGGATAATTTTATACATCCTGTTTGAAGCCATCATTAAAAAAATGTTTGGTTGTCCTCCCCAGACCGACTGACAAAAAAATGGCCGGACTAAATACTTTTTTTTTTATTTTGCAGGATACGATATACATGTACATTTTTTTTCAATTTTTATTCCACTTATTCCGTCAACATATATGCTGAAATTTTCATGACTTTTTTGAAATCTCCTATCTTCATAATTTTTCCCTAAATCGGGAGAGGACACACAGACATTTTCTTTTATAGATGACCCGATCGCCAGGGTAATTTACGAGCGTATTGTTCAACTCCACATGTATATTACATGTGCATTACATGTACTCATAAAATTCAGCATTAGACATAATGCAATGATGACCTGATAGCACACATTTTTTTACTTACTGGACAAAACTCACTTTAAAACTGCATTGACAGAGCAAGGTCGCCAAGAAATTGACCTGAGATACATTTACGTGTTTTGTGTAGAGAAAAGAAAACACAAACTAACGTTAAAAAATTAAATTGAGGTAAGATATGCACAGCAGCTTAGTTTTCTTTTTGTTCAAGGAGACATTAGGAGACTGTTTGGGAAAAAAAATTACTTGAAAGTGAAAGGAACTTGTTTTTACAAAGTTATTTCTTTTCGTTCATAGATGCATACTTTAATTAAAATCATAAAGAAAAGTTCAATTTAGAATTCCAAATTTGGCTCAGGGTAAAGCAGGTGAGAGTTTATGTTTTATCAAATAACGGTATTTATGGTTGACTGTTGCCTTATATGTCATTCGAAAATTGTTTCACTAATGGATACTGTGGTTTTATCAATATTCGCTGAACACCATTTTTCGATAAATTCGTTGTTGAGCAGATCCACGAAATTTAATGTTCATTGACTTGAAAATGTGTTATTCATTTGTACAGACAATGCTTTCGTCCACGAAATTACGTATAATCGAACACGTCTTTTACAAAATCCACGAAAATAGATGGCAACGAAAGTTGATGAAACCACAGTATATAGATATTTCTTATCTAGGTGCCGTATGAAATCCATCTTATCAATTTTATCTGAGGTGTTTTTTCCTCAAATGTTTTTTAATTTTCTTTTAAGCTAGTAATACGAGTAAATTTATTCCTTTGAATCTTAAATTTAATCTACTTATTATTTAGTTCCCACTATGACTTCACGGCTTGTAGAGCGTTTCCTAATATACACATCATCTCTTGGGTTCATTTCTACAACGACCGCATCCCTTGTAGCTCTAGTTTTGTCTGCTTTTCAACCACTACAAAACAAGGCCCCAACTGAATTTGAATTTACAGCAGTTAGTAAATAGATATATTCACCACGTGCACGAGAGCAAAACAATGTACATGAAGATGTGCACATCCTGTCCTCTGAGCAGATAAAGTTTACAGAATTAGGATTACAGTTTCCACTATTTGTAATAATGTTGTCGAAAAAATGGTTTGATGACTCCCTGGATTGTTTTTCTTTACGTGCTATTGAACGCCATCACTGCCTTATAGCATACAACTATGCATCTATTATGTCAATTTATCATTACGTGATGTGATCATATCTTTACGTTATGTCCATTTTTTATGAGATGATGTAAATATATCTAAACATCATGTCAATGCTGCATTACATGAAGTAAATACATTCTTTCATTCTGTCAGCACTTCATAACTTGAAGTAAAAAATTCATTATATGAAGTGATAATGTGTTTACATTGTGTTAAAACTTTGTTGCATGAAATGATTTTTTCTTTACATCATTTCATTTCTTTAATATGTGGGGTCAAAATTGCATTACGTCAAGTAAATTGTGTTTTATAATTAAACTTATCATTACACGAAGTCAAAAGCCCATTCCTTTGAGAGTGTATATTTCTATTATATCAAAGCAGTATTACGTGATATGGATTTATCTTTATTTTACGGCGAGGGCATCATGATATGTGGTAAACACATCTTACCTTTATGTCAGTACATAATGTGAACATATCTTTATATTGTATCAATACTTTATTACATTATGTCAAAACTCCATTCCGTGATGTGGATGTATAATTACGCTATGTCAACTCTTTCTTATGTGATTTAAAAATATCTTTATATTGTGTTAACTCTTCATCATGTTGATTCCAAAAGTTCATTACCTGATGTTAAAAAACATTTACATTATCTCAAAGCTGTATATCTAGTATATAATGAATGTTGACGACCGTGATTTAATGACTGGTAAGAAGGGGGGGGGGTACTGATTGATTAAGACAAATTACAGGCACATAATATCAACCCCCCTCTTTTCTCAGACATAACTTTACTATAGAAAATGTAATGTTCATTAAAACTTTACAGCCCCCACCCCCACTTTTTGCTGAAGTATAATCCACTAAGGGTAATGTTATATATTTGGAAAAAATAGGACCGATCGAAGTTGGACCCCTCTCCCCGAAATGGGATTTTCGGGCTTGGACTTTTTTTTTTGGTTTGTCAAGTTTTTTCAGGTAAATGATTTTTTTTTTCTGGCTGACCTCCTCTTTCAAAAAAAGATGTTATGTCACTGGAGTTAGTAATTTTTTTTAATCATTCCAGGGCCAGAATTCTATTACAAAAATCTGCCAATCGCTCATCTAAATCAATTGAATATCCCTTAGTAAGCATGCATGGGCACATATCAGTGGCAGATATGGGAATCTTGAACAAGGAAGAGGGGCGGTATATGGTTGAAGACCAAGGGCGGAAAGCGGAGAAGCTTTCAGGCTTTATAGTTTTATAGAAAAAAGTTTGCAAGTTAATTCAGCTAAGCTTATTGTGAAACTAATGCAATGTCCTTCAAAGTTTAAGACTTTTATTTAAAAAAAGAATCAAAATAAAAAGAAAAAAATGATTGCTGCACGACTCATAATATTTGATTTATTTATTTATGAGATTAAAGTAAACACCATTGAATTTCGACGTGACTTTAATTCACAGTCGCAGTGTTAAGGCTTTGCACGTTTCAAGATTGTCAATCATTTGTCGCTTAAAGTTTTCATTTAAAGATGTCATTCCCAAATCGCCGAGAATCTCTTCTCTCCCGCCATTTTTAGTGCTTGCGGAACGCGGAAAATACGTTATGCTCATATAAAGGCCGAGGATACCCGTGTTCGCATAACGTAATAGTGAATCGACATAATGTAGAAGAGTGCGCACAGTATGGCATGAGCTTTTCACATCAGTTAATAAAAACTAAGATCTCATGAGAAGTAAACATAACGAAATGCAAGTTGACGAAATATAATTGTACTATGTGTAAATGTCATAAAGAGTTGACATAATGTAAAGGAAAGTTAACATGATGCAATAGTAGTGTGGGTTAATGTCATAAAGAGTTGACATAATGTAATGGAAGGTTGACACAATGCAACAGTAGTGTCGGTTAATGTCATAAAGAGTTGACATAATGTAATGGAAGGTTGACACAATGCAATAGTAGTGTTCTGCTATAAGGCAGTGTCGGCGTTCCATAACGTGCCAAACACAAGTAGAATGCTGCTCCACCTTTATCAATATTTCTTTCTTATGAACCAGATTTGTCAAACCATGTGGAGCCTTTCATTTCAACTTGACTGCGATATTATCGAATACAAAATATGAATAAAACTAATTCTTATTGTAACGGAAACCGTGAAAGATATTCCAAAAACGCTTACCCTTCTCCATATGTGGCATATTTCCTTTATGCTTCATCTAATGAAGTTAAACCATTATATTTCCATTTCTAATTTGTTTTCTTTATGATAACCCTTTGAAAGTTAGCGGAGTTGATTTCCTGATAATTCTGCCGGAATATAAATTAGGCAGGTCTATAGGTCAGGAGCTAAGGAGGCCTAGTATGCATGCAAATTTCGTGCGCATCTGTCTCTGAGTTTGACGCTAAGGAGGCCACACATGCATGAAAATTTCGTGTGGCTGCCGTTGTGTTTGACGTCAATGGGCTAGGACTATTAAAATTGGGATGGGAATCCTCGTGTATTTTAAATCTATGTCTGCATTTTTAAAGTTTAAATCTACAATTTTATTTCACAATGAAATGGAAATATAAGGAATCACTGTCTAGTTAGTGTAGTATGCCAGGGACATCAACAATAGTGGGAAACATGGGATAAATTATCCCATGTTTCCCACTATTGTTGATGCCCTGACATACTATACTAACTAGACAGTGATTCCTTAAGTATTTCGGACT